TTAGAGGTGGACACCTGGCTTCTTCCAGTAATGATTCCTCCGAAGCTTATTCTATAAAACAGCTATATCTTAATGTAATGCAGGGGCATTGTCTCAGCTAGCTGGAGCCCAATAATGAACAGAGGCCACAGTCTTTGCTAAGCCCGTCTAGACAGCAGCTGTTTGGAAAGCATGGTCAAGTTTAAAGTGCGTTATGCATAGCAGAGTTTCTCCCCATTGGCATGATTGCCATGGTCAGTTTTCCGTTTTGAGATCTACCCCTACAAAAGTAATTAGTAGCTTCCTTGGCCTGTGCCCACTAGATGCCAGTAGAACCTGGCCCAGAAAAGTACCCAGAATATTGGGTATGATGTCATCACTGAAAGGTAAGGAACTATGTCACCTATACTTTAACTTAAAATTTTAAAGGAGGGGCTGGGGTTGAGCTCACTTGGTAGAGTGCTTGCTTACCACAAAAAGCTCCCCAGCGGCATATTAAAATGACATGGTGGCACATGCCTGGAATCCTCACATTTCAAAGGTAAAGAGAGACGTATCAGAAATTCAGGTCATTCTTGCAGAATTGTGTCTCTTGTAGCCCAGGTTGACCTCAGACTCAGATTTCTAACCTTCTTCAATCACCTCCTCAGGACTGGGATTACAGACGTGCCCCACCCCATCCAGTTTATACAACACTGGGTACTGAACCTAGGGCTTTCTGCATGCTAGGCAAGCACTCTAACATAGAACTACATCCTAGACTGAACAGTACAGTGGGCCCCTATGGTTGTCACTTTGCTCTGTTTGTGTCATTAAAGTAGGTGTTAGTAGCTAAGAATGAGAATTACATTAAAATAATTTCTTCAATGCTAAGCCAAGCAGGTGTCCGCTCCAAAACACGTGCTCACTCACTCATTCATTTTATGTGAGTACATATATGACTTTATGTATAATCTAGGAGATTCCCACCTCTGACTTTATTATCCTTGAGACACCTGCAATACTAAAGGCCTGGCCTTGCTGGCCTCCTCAGCCATCACAGAAAGTTTAACAAAAGTGATTCTGTCCACTAGAGGGAACCCAACTTATGTTATTTCCTAAACAAATAAACTGGAGATAGGAAAATTAAGAAAAGGAGACAAAACTTTGTGCATGTGCAAGCTATGTGTGGCACGGGGACAGCAAAACCCCAGAGCTGGAGCCCCACCTGCAAGGTCACCTGGGTATTTGTAGGAGGGAAAACAGACCGCATTTCAAAGCGGTCCCTCTCCTTGTATAAGATAAATGAAAGGGGGCTGCAAATCTGAAAGGGGAGAGACACAGAGGGGTGAGAAGAAAGACACAGAGGGGTGAGAGAGGAAAAAGAAGGAGAGATGATACCATTATATTCTAATTTAAAAAAAAAAACAATCATTTCAAAAAAATAAAAATTTTAAATTTAAAAAACCCACAAGGATCTATGTCTTCAACTCTAAGTTCTGATAGTGTACAGACAGTGATTGTCCTTTCTCTTGAGGTTTTGGTTGTGACCTATGGTCTTTAATGGCTAAGCTATCTCTCCAGCTCTGATTCTTATTTTTCTAAAAATAATTTTTAGAATGCATACTTTAAGCACATGTCTTTGATCTCAGCACTCTGGGGGACAGAGTTGGTAGATCTATCTCTCTGAGTTCAAGGGCAGCTTGCCCATTGAGTGAGCTCCAGGACAGCCAGGACAACATAGAGACCCTGTCTACAAACAAAGAAACAAATAAATAAATGTCTTTCAAAATGTAGGCAATCGATATTTGAGTATAATAATGAATAAAAGGATAAACCTAAAAACAAAACAGATAAATGAAAAGGCATTACCCTAGTTCAGGTAGTCTGAAAAACAATCCTTATGTTTTTACAAAAACCAGTAAGATTTCTCTGGATCTAACAAAAATAGTTATTTCCTTCCCAGCCAGTGCTACCAGGCTCTGATCATAGTAGGCATTATCTGGACCATCAGTTAATTACTGCTTAGGACAAAACAGAATGAAGCATCACTGCAGGAAAGCCTCAAGTCATTTAAAAGTTCATTACTTTGGGGCCATCAAGAACCTTCAGGGTGTAAAAGCACTTGTTGCACAGACTGACAGTGAAAAGCTGGATATAAGGATTCAAATCCATAATCCCAGCACTCCTACGTGGAGCTGGGAGGTGGTCACAGAGTCACTGGAGCAAGGAAAAGTTGCTGAAGCAAGGAAAAGACTGCTTGAACATCTGCATGGCTATCAAAAGTTGTCTTCAGGCTTCCACACATGCACTGTGGGTACATACAGGCCTACACCAGTGATGTACACACATCATACAAACACATACAATAAAAGTAACAAAATAAGAAATAGGTTAAGATGTCTGGAGAGATGTCTGAGGGTGTAAGACCACTCACTATGAGAAGCGTAAGACCTCGGTGTGGACACACATGCCCCCCCCCTTGTTTCTGTCTCTGTTTCTCTGTCTCTGTCACACACACACACACACACACACACACACACACACATTCCTTCATTAAATCAAGCTATGGGATACAGCCTAATGGTAGGACACTTACCCAGCATGCATAAGGCCCTAGATTCACTGAAAAGTAGAAACTGGACTTCAAAGTTCATTAAAGCAAGTCAGGTATGGTGACTTATGCCTGAAATCCCAGCACTCAGAAAGGGAAGCAGCAAGAGGATGCTGTGAGTTTGAGGCCAGCCTGGGCTACATAGTGAGTTTCTATCTACAAACTGAGATCTGTCTCTAAAACTGGTAATAAATTAAAAAATAAAGATAAGGTTTATTAATTCAATGCTCAGAAGAACCATGAATTAAACACTTTCAAGGCACTTGCAAAACAAATTCTTAGCCACTGATTATTAAAATGGTTCTTGAAATTGAGATAAGCTGAATATTTTCAAAATACCCACTTTTGGGATGGAAGGGACAATAAGGTCTTACAATGTGGCTTTGGCTAGCCTGGAACTCCCTATGTAGACTAGGCTGGCCTTGAACTCAGCTGGTTAAATATGTGCACTGCCATGGCCAGCTACTTTAGGTAAAACGTAAAGCATATCCCTTTGTACTGATGCTTCGCTATGACAAGCCCTTTAGAGGCCTCTCCTCCCACCTAGAGCTTTCCTTCCACCGTGGGTGTCCTGGGTCAGACTCAGGCCGTCTTACTTCAAGGGGAAGCCATCTCTCGGCCCCTCTTCCCATCTGATACTGCCACAAAAGCAGCTGACACTGACTTCCTCAGAGAAGTGGCCCTGAACAAGGACTTTCTATGCAACCTAGGAAAGCAAAAGAAGCTGCTGGTAACGAGCTCCCACTGCCAGAGCTACCGTCTTGTCCCTGCACCCGACATGGTCTGTGTCCTTCTCTCTCTCACAAACTCCTCGTTCCCACCCTTCCCTCATACGTACCCTTCCTATTCTAGCATACATCCTGACTGTAGGCGTTGGGTGGGGGGGGGGGGCTTCCCAAACAACCCTCAGCCCCCAACTGGTATTTCAAAAACACCCGGGCCTTTATTTTGACAATTAAATTCCTGTGACTGCAGAAACTGTGTCCAACTCCACTTCCAGAGCTGGAAGCAAGCAGGCTTGTTGCAATGTCTGGATTATAAAAACAATGCATATTTTCCATCTGCCACAGAAATATGAATTCTAAGGGTTAAAGGCTTAATTCTTTATTATCTCCTCCATCCACATTCATCACAAGACACCCTTCCCAGGAAGGCAAGAATGAGAGGTTATTGTTAAGAGAGAATGAATGAGACAATGTAAGTTCTGTTCTTCTGACCTGACAGTGTGACCAAGGCAGGGGCTCTGGGACTAGGGAGGGCTCCAGTGAGCCTCCACAAGTCTTGGCACAGCTGCTACCTTCTGCTATGGATAACCAAACCTAGCTCAGGATGCTTGCCTCCCAAACTCCTCACCCTCCGGAGGACAACGGAGTGGATGCACACAGCCAAGAAGACATGCTCTCAATAAACCCCTTAGTTCAATTCCTGGCCATCCTTTCCTATGCCTGGTATTTCCAAGGTTGGGGGTATGGTCAGTTTCGGTGTTTCTTTGTTTTTCTTAAGATACAGTGGTGATGAGCATGAGGTGCCGCCTTACAAGCACCACCTGCACCAGCAGTGTAGGACACAGCGACATGTCTTGTCATCAATCAGAGGTCAGTGAGACTGTAAGTCTCACATGGCATTGGTACCCAACGCAGTTACCCATCTCCTGTGGGGGAGAGCTGGCCTGTTCCCGGCCTTTACACCTCCACGGAGGTATATTTAAGGATGGTAAGAATATTTGATTCACAGAGTGGTACATACTTTCCATGGCATTTCATCACAGCTGTCAGAGATAATGGGGAGGACTTGTTCTCAAAGATCAAAGCCAGAGTGCAGGAGAGGCAGGAAGCAGGTGAATCACTGTGAGTTTGGGACCAGCTTGGTCTATAGAGTGAGTTCAAAGCAGCTAGGGCTACATAGAGACCTTGTCTGAGTAAACTGGGGTTTTGGTGGGGGTTTTTTTTGGTTTTGTTTTGCTTTGTTGAGAGAGTTTCTCCATGTAGCTCTGGCTGTATGTAGACCAGGCTGGCCTTGAGCTCACAAAGATTTGCCTCCTAAGAGCTGGGATTAAAGGCCTGTACCGCCACCACCTGTAAAGACCTTGTCTTAAAAAAAATAGAGGGGGAGGGGGGAAAGGAAAAGGGAGAGAGAGAAAAGGAAGAGGGAGAGGGAGAGAGGGAGGGGGGAGGGAGAGGGAGAGGGAGAGAATGAAGAAAAAAAAACCCTCCTCTGGAAGTTGAAAGAGTTGTTCTACCCACCAGCTTACATTAGGGCTTCTGAGCGGAGGAGTTTCCGGAAGTTTCTGGAGGTCAAGGGAAGGGCAAAGGTTTCTTTGTAACTTGTTTTCCTCCCCATTTACATCAAATAAAACAGAACAAAAAGAATTTCAAATCCAGGACATGATTCCAGAGGACACCCCAGTTTCCCCAAAGCCAGAACTCACTCTGTAGCCACTATTTGGGGGATGGGTTCGTCGAGGAGTTCCAAGCTGTGCAGGATCCAGTAGCAGAGCCAGGGGCGGCTGGCATCCAGACACTGAGAGGGACCAGGAGAAAACACACCCTTTATTCAATCGGTCCAAGATCCTGTGACAAGGCTACATCTGTCTTAGTTCCTGAAGCCTAGCAAGGGGAGGAGGAGGCAGGCACCCTTGCTCGGACAACAATCAGTACTGAAGGGTGCTGTCATTTGTGACAAAAGAACAGCAGGGAACATTTAAGATCCGTAAGTGCCTTCTGCAGAAGTCCAAGCAAATCAGAGCAGAGAACTTACACACAGGGAAGTTAACTGCTGCTGGTGTCCCTGTGCAGACAAGGAAACGCATCCTCTTACAAGGACACTTCCTGAATTCACACATGTACAGATTCATCAAATATTTGGTATCTACTTGTGCCAAACATTAGACATTGGGGGCACAGCAATGTTGGAAACTGATTCAGTGCTCAGCATGTAGAATACTGACTGACTGGCATGGCTATCTTAGAGAAAGAGGCAGTAGACACAGAAGCCTAAGTTACCTAATGTCTCTCTGGAACAAGGTTAGCATGTGTACATACATCTGTTAGGTGCTTTGAGGACCTGGAGGAGGATGGGTGTGTCTGGAGACAGGGAGAAGGCTTCTGAAGGTGATGTGTGCACAGACCTCCATCCTAATTCAAGTCAAACATGGCTCCTGGGCATCAGAGGCTCCGCAGGGCAGGTGGTACCACTTACAGGCTCTATATGTTTAAAGTATATAAAAGAGGGCCAAAGAGACTAATTTTCTCCACGTTATAAAAGAAGTAAATGCCAGAGTTGGAGTGTAGGTTGTGATAGTCACGTGACTGATGATAAGACTTGGAAAGTCCTTCCACAAGCAAAAAAAAAAAAAGAACTCTGAAATAGAAGCCAATTAAAGGCAGAGCTATCCTTTGCAATGGGAGGCAGGGAGACGGGAGCCCTGCTGGTCACAGCCTTTTCTACCCCCACCGTGGCTCTTAGCTTCTTCCATGAATCTCATGGCTCTTAGAATCATGCTTTAAGAGTCACTCTGTGTTTAGTGTCCTCCGAGATCTCTGACCAAGACAGAAACTGGATCAGCTTATAGGGACAAGGTGTGGGGACAAGGTGACTGACTTTTATCTACATGTAAGGGAGTCAGGAGAAAGCAAGCAGTGATCAAACGATGAAGGAGAGCCCTAGCCCATCTAGAATGTTCCATAGCTCTAAGGGTCTAGGGGCTGAAAAGGCTGGAGGAGATTTTTTTCTTTGTTGGTTTTTTGTTTGTTTTTGTTTGTTTGTTTGTTTGTTTTGAGACAGGGTTTCGTTGTGTAGCCCTGGCTGTCCTGGAACTTGCTCTGTAGACCAGGCTGGCCTCAACCTCATACAGATTCGCCCTCCAGCCTCCTCCTCCTCCTGAGTGCTGGGACTAAAGGCATGTGCCACCATCTCTTAGCTGGAGAAGACTTTATTTAGCTCCTTTCGTAAGTGGAGTAGCAGCTATGAAACAACAGCCCTGTTCCTGCCAGAGCCACGTGGGGCACACAGTGGGTACATCTGCAACAGGTGAGATCAACAGCCTTTGTGGAGCACTGCCCCATGCTTGACAGGAAGTTCCCAGGCAACGTTTTACCTCATAGGCATCTGTCAGCTGTCGAAGGCCTTTTTTCAGATAATGGAAGTGCTTCTCCCTCTGCAAAATGAGCCTGGAAAGACAAAGAGCCCATAAGTCCTTCTGACAGCTCACACGCACACACATGTTCTTACACACACCTGTTAGAACATTGCCCACAGTCACTAAGTGAATACCTGGTAACTTCAGTATGTACAAAAAGCAGCTACACCAGGGAAAAGAGGCATGTGGCTGAGTTCTCTGGCTGCCTGCATACTGTCCTGGTAAATGTTCTGAAAGGAAACACCTTGGGAAGGTGACTGCCCTGCACTGGGCACACGATGCTTGGTACTGACAGTCTACTCAGAGAGCTTCTCCAGGACCTAGGGACTGCAAGCAATCTGATGGGCAGTCCTGCCTGGGACCAGACATGCTGTGAACAACCTAACTCAGAACCTTGCTGCCTCCACCTCCCCCACTTGAGTCATCTCTTCTGAGACCACTTGTCTGAGATCTGCACTTTGTCCCCTGCCCACCCCTTGATTGTCCATCTGTTACTCTGGCCCCAAAATTCCACCTCCCACGTGCTGACCCACAGCCCTGGCCAGAGGATGCTTTTTTGTATTCCACGGGCCAGGCACACCCGTGGCACTGGGGTCAGCAATATTGGCTTTAAGATGGAATGTGCTACCCATGGCCACCTGCAAGGGCGAAGAGAGAGGCGGGACTTCTTGCTTACAGTTGAAAGATGGCCTGTGTGCTTATGGAAGAAAGAAAAGCGGAAATAATGTCCAGACGTTCACTGAGCCTGCTGACTACAGGAATAACGGGGAAGAGAAGCGCTCTCTTCTAGGTAGTCAATAAACAATTGTTTCTTTTTTTTTTTTTTTTGGTTTTTCGAGACAGAGTTTCTCTGTGTAGCCCTGGCTGTCCTGGAACTCACTCTGTAGACCAGGCTGGCCTCGAACTCAGAAATCCGCCTGCCTCTGCCTCCCAAGTGCTGGGATTAAAGGCGTGCGCCACCAACGCCCGGCTAAACAATTGTTTCTAGAACAATTGTTCTGTGCTCAGAATACGATCATTGGTGTGGTCTCTATCTCAGAAGAATCTTCCAAGGCAGGAAGAGAAATGCTGTCTCAAAAGAAAAGCAATGGCAGTGGTACCCACCTGCTGTAATCCTAGCACTCAGAAGGCAGGAAGACCACAACTTCTTGAGGGTGGCCTACACAATGAAACGGACCGAGTGCCTTCTCAGAAAACAAAACTCACAAGGGTGTTAAGAGACAGCAGGGTCTCTGAGCACAGAAGACTGTTCATTAAGTCCTATCAAGGTCCCTGTGGTGCGAACTGAGGAGTAGAAGACCAGTGCCCCCCAGGAGTCCCAACAAATCCTCTAGTGTCACCACGTACTGGGGAGCCCAACATGTGTCCTCGATGCAACAAGAGAGTATACTTTGCTAAGAAGGTGACTCCCCTGGGCAAGAACTGGCACCAGCCCTGCCTGCACTGTGAGCGTTGCTCCAAGACACTGACCCCAGGCAGGCATGCTGAGCACGGTGGCCAGCCCTACTGCCACAAACCTTGCTATGGAATACTCTTTGGACCCAAAGGAGTGGATACTGGTGCTGTGGGTCGCTAAATCTATGACAAGGACCCGGAAGGTACAGTTCAGCCTTAGATCTGCACATGCTGTCCTCAGGGTCCCCTATTTGACCCTGAGGGAAAGTGACCTGTTGCCTAGTCCTGCCTCAACGTGTCTCGCTTGCAAATCCAGGACCTAAGTGGTGGAGAAGAAAACCTGGGTAGTCTCAGAATTTCAGCCCTCTTTGTCACCTTGGTATGTCCTGTGTTGCCCATGGTTTACTTTCTGTCTGTGTGTCTCTATAGCTCCATGGGTCCTGTGTTCCTGTGTTCCTCTGTCCCTGTGTCCCCAGGTCCCTGATAACTCTCCAAGGTGGCTGTCCTGTGATATCCCTTTGCCCACACCTGCCCACCAGTATTATTTATGCTCTGCTTGTCAGTCATGGCCATGAGCTCACAGCATTCCCAGGGTGACAGCACCCCTGCAAGAAGCCCTCTGCTGGTTCCCACACTACTCCCTACTTACCCTCACATGGTTCACAGCTATGGAGACTTTTGCTGTCAATAAATAGTTTGGTTTGAGGAAAAAGAACAACAAGAACAAAACAAAACCAGAAGAAAGAAGAAATGACCAGACTCTGTTTCTCTTTCAGAAAGTCAGGACTCCTGTGTAGGGAGCATCATGCACGGAGGTCCAGGATGACTGTTCCTTACAGCTACCATCTGCTGGTGGACTCAGAGAAGTAAAGACAAGTCCACTGTCCACTTGATGCTCTGACTTGGTAAGTGCAGTGGGTTCTGAGCTCACAGGCAGGCAGGGGAAGTCAGAGATATCCTCCCTAAGAGGACAGTACTGAGACAAAAGCAGGAAGATGAGATGGCCAGGCAAAAACCCAAGAGGACACCATAGCACGTTTTAGTTAATTTAGTTAAGATGTTAGAGCCAGCCGGGCAGTGGTGGCGCACACCTTTAATCCCAGTACTTGGGAAGCAGAGGCAGGTGGATTTCTGAGTTTGAGGTCAGCCTGGTCTACAGAGTGAGTTCCAGGACAGCCAGGGCTATACAGAGAATCTCTGTCTCAAAAAAAAAAAAAAAAAAAGGAAAACACACACAAGATGTTAGAGCTAAAGCACAGGAGAGAAGTAGTCAGAAAGAAGTCAGAATGGAGAGGGCAGAACATGGAAGTCAACTAAGAGAGTTGCTTAAGGCTTCAAAGAAGGCTGGGTATGGTGGTCCATACCTTTGATCTTAGTACTTGGGAGGTAGTGGCAGGTAAATTTCTGTGAGTTCCAGGCCAGCCTGGTCTACACAGCAAGTTCCAGGGTTACAAAGTGTGACCCTATCTCAAAACAAAAGACAAAACAAAACAAACAAACAAACAAAAAACCCTGAAGGAAAGCTGGGCATAGGAGCCCATGCCTTAAATCCAACAGTCAGAAAGCAGAGAGGTGAGAGGGTTGCTATTAGTTCAAGGCCAGCCCAGTCTTCATAGTGAGTGCCAGCCCATCCGGAGAGCTTGTCTCCAAAACCAAACAAATAAAACCTGAGCCTGAAGAACAATAAGGATGACCCTGAAAACATGCTAAGCCGTCATTTACATGTAAGAAGCCACTTATAAAATACTACATGCTATATGATCCCATTCATATGAAATGTCCACCCTTAGAGACAGAGAGTAGATTAATTGGTTGCCTAGAGTTTATGAAGGCACTGAGGGTGCTAACTAAGGGTATTCTTCTAAGGGGTGATGAAATGCTCAAAAATGAATCTTGATAAGTTTTACCGCTCAGTGAATATGCTAAAACTGATGAATTACACATTTGAACTCAATGAATTATGTATGAATTATATTTCATTAAATGTTATTTCCTCCTAAAAGGAACAAAACTGAACATGGTGTGTGCCTATATGCTCAGCATGCAGGGGGTGGTGCAGAAGACTGCATGTCCACGGCCAGAGAGGTCCACTTCCTGGGCTATTAAAGACTAGCTGTACAAGTCTAAGGACTCCAGTTCCATCCCTGAAGCCTGGGTACGTCATCCTCTGACCGCCACACGTGCCTACACATGCATCATACACACATATACACAACAATAGTAAGCAGGTAAAAAGGATTTTCAAGGGAATTACTGAAGAGGTTTAGACAGCAGCGGGATATGAACCCCTGATAAGGAAGAATTCCACATCCTCAGAGACAGAGATGTGATGCGCAGGTGTATGAAGCCAGCCAAATCATGGAGTTTGAAGTGGGGAAGAGGAGACGGAGGAAACCATGTGATGACAGCCTGTGACTTCTCAGGAATGAGGAATCCAGAACACAGGAGCTACATACAGACTGTCTGCTGTGGCAACGGCGTTAGACAACACATGAGATGAATAAAGCGATCGGCAGCCAGAAGTACTAAAATTTTAGTGAAGCCAGTTAGCAGACATTTCTAGGTGGTTTCTTGATAACCTTTTTTTTAATATATATATATAAAGACAGAATCTCACTATATAGCCCAGGTTAGGCTCAAACTCAACATTCCCCGCCACAGCGGCAGGGCTTTTGTTACAGGGGTGTGCTACCTTGCCTGGCTTCCTTGCTGGGACTGTTTGGGAAACAGCAGTGGGAAGAGCAGACTAAGCAGGGAGGGAGGGGAAATGATAAGCACATTTCTGAAATGTGTCCTGGCTCAGCCTGAGCAGGATGGAACCACAGGCTTCGACAAGAACAAGCAAGACTGTTAATGAAGGTAGACCTGCAGTGACTGGAGACAGCCAGGTAAAATCAAACACTACCAGTATCCAGACTCTACACTGGTCTTACCTAAGTAGTCCAGGCTGGTTTTGAACTAAGATCTTCTTGCCTTTCCCTCCCAAGTTCTGGGGGTTACATACATGTACCACAAGCCAGGCTTTGGCTAGGTTGTTTGTTTGTTTGATTAGTTTTGTTTTTCTGAGACAGGGTTTCTCCAAGTAGCCCTGGAACTCACTTTGTAGAACAGACTGGCCTATAACTCAGAGATCCTGCCTCTGCCTCTGCTGAGATTATCGGCATGTGCCACTACACATGGCATTTTTACCAAGCTGAGTGAAATAACTAAACAGATCCTTCAGTAGCCCAGAAATGCAGCCCAGTGAGACAGATCAGCATTAAGAGTACGTTGGCCTGATTCTCTGACTTCAATCCTGGAACCCACATGGTGCAAGGACACAACTGAGTCCTTCAGACTGTCCTCTGACCTCCATGCACTCATCCCATGCATACCACCCCCACACACAACATAATGTAAAAGCAAATGTTTCCAAGTATTGAAGCTCTAGGAAGTCTTCTCATCTTTTGAAGAATCTTTTTACATGACAAGGGGCTTTTCAGTCACTACCAACCATCTCTGAGGCCTGAGCTTTTGGTCTCTAAAGGCCTCGCTGAAGTCAAGCTGCTCAGGAATTACCTCCTCAACTACCCCAGGCTGGTCCTTAAAACCTGAGCCAGCCTAAGGTAAACTCCCTCCTGAGGAGTTCCCCTCTAACCTTGCGCCTCACCCACAGGCAGTAGGCCCAAGAACCCTGGGGAGAAGGGAGCTGTTTTCTAGCTGGGTCTTTGTGAAGAGAGACTTCAGCTTCATATGCTGGAGGGAAAAGGCGGGTGGAGGGTGCGGGGAGAGATTACGCCCAATGACATTTCCCCAAGCCAACTTCTTACTTCTTCCATTCTCATCCGTTTAATTATAAGCGTATAAACGTATTGTTAAGTTGAAGTGTTCAGCTTATTTGGGTCAATCAGAAATTTTACTAAATTGCACAAAAAACAAATTGCTACTGTGAGCTAAATTGTGCCCCTCCCTTCACAATCAGTGCTGCAGTCTTAACCCATAGTGCGACTGTGGTTATTAATTGGACCTTTAAGGAGGGATTTAAGGCTATCTGAGATCCCAAGGGTAGAGCCCTACCCAACAATACAGGTGCTTTAGTAAAAGCAAGCGCCAGGGGTGTGGCTCCGTGGCAAGTGCTTGCCCAGCATGCACAAAGGCCCTGAAGGAACTGAGGGAGGAGGGGAGACACCAGGGAGTCTGAGCACAAACAAAAGGCTACGTTAGGACAGAGCCAGGCAGCCAACTGCAAGTCCTGGGACAGGCCTCAGGAGAAACCAGGCCTGCCAGCATCCTGATCTTGGATTTCCAACCTCTTGGACCTCTCAAGCTCCTGGGTTTCAGAGCACCCAGGATGTGTGCGCTTGGTTACCAAGCTGACTTAGACCCTTACATTCTCCTTTCATTCTATGTGTAGGAAGTCAAAAGCCTAAACTCCTCCCACCCCCAGAGCTCAGCCTCAAAGCCAAGAATGGGGGAAAAAAAAAAAAAACTGAGACTGGGAGGAAGCAATAACTCAGAAGACTAATGGGCAAGGGCACTCAGGTAACAAGCAGAGGGAAACTGGGGGTGTGGGTCTAGGGACTGGAATTGGAAGGGATTTAAAGCGTGTATTATGGAATGATACCGATTATACTTTTGGGGTAAGCCCACGGCTTCCAGACCTTCCCAAGTACCTTCCTCTCCTTCCAACCTCACCCCATGACCTCACCGAGCTCTGCTTTCTGTAGCCTTGGAACTTTGCACATGTTGTCCCCTCTGTCCATTCTAGACACTTCTAGGTTAGCCAACTCATTCCCTGGGGCATTCTCTGGGTCCTATGAGAATACTTGGCTCTTTGGCGACTCTTTACTGGTGGAGAATGAGGGAGGGCAAACCCTGAAGGGTTTCACAAGAACAAGGCAGAGTAAAAGCAAGCATACTTCTCCAAACCTGGACCACCCCTGAGTGTCCTGTGGTTGACCATGACATGGAAGACACTGTGTGTAGAAAAGGCAGCACTAAGAAGAAGTTTGTCTCCCAGAGTCTCCAGGATTTACAAACAGGATGGCGGACAACACAGGTCGTTTGTAGGACTTCAGTGCTGGCTTCAGAACTACACACTGCTGCACTTAATCTCCAGAGAGAACCTCTAGTGAGCTGCTAGCACTGCTTACTACACTAGGGAGTACACGGGTCACTTCTACCCTAGAGAAAACAATTTTAAATCCCCCACACACACAGTGTGTGTGTGTGTCTGTCTGTCTGTGTCTGCACCATTTATACATTTTATGTTTCACATTATGGCAAATGAAATGAACTAGAGAAATATCAGGACTGTGATGGCCAAGAAGTTAGCTATGGTGCTGGACTGGAAAAGTAGATATACCCAAGGGGCAGAACAAGAACATTTTGGAGAGGGCTGGGAGTGTGGTTCAGTTAGTAGGACTACTGCACAGCATGTGCTAGGCCCTGGGTTTGCGCTCAAAGGCTAGAAAAAAGTGAAGAGGAAGGACAATGAGGACGTGACCTCCCCTGGGTATGGCTGAGGAGGTTTACTGTCTACATGAAGGAAAGCACAGCCACAGGCATCTGGAAGGGTCAGACTGGACACGGCCAGCAGAACAGAGTAGGCATGAGAGGACAGAGAGAGACAGGGAGAGGGAGAAAGGAAAGAAAGAAGAGAGACAAAAGAAGACTTAGAGGGCAAAGAGGACCAACACAGCACATAGCCAAAGCTGCTGAGTTAGAGAGGCAGGAAAAAGACGCTGTAGGAAGCAAGCAAAGTGAAGCTCAGGGTCTCGGGAGGTTTAGGGTGGAGGTCACGGGTTAGAGGTGCTGAGGGGAGCCAGGCCTCTGTAAGAAGTACTTGGAGCCACTGAGAGAGACTGGAGGCAGAGCCTGCTTTGACACGCTAACAGGCCCCGCATCCATCTGTCCCCGGTTTCTTTGAGACCTAACAGAAAATACTGACTTTTGTAAGAACCCAGGATGCAGTGTGGCATGTCGGTGTGCACCTGAGAGCACAGCATCCGGGAGGTGGAGGGGGTAGGACTGAGCTCAGCGTCAGGCTACGAATCTCCAGACAACAAGAGAACCTCTTTCAAAAGCACAAAGCCAAAACCAAAGCCAAGAACAAAACACTCCAAAAAAAACAATGATAAAAGAAAGCAGGATGTTGACAAAACTATAAAAGTACAAGAGGTTCAGTGGGTAAAGGAGCACACCACTGAGCTTGACGGCCTGAGTTCAAGGGGCGGGGCGGGCAGGGCATTGGTAGAGAGGGTCCTAAATTCATAAACAGAAAAGGAAAAGAACAAGAAGGCCTTCTTGGTACTGACCATCTCACTCCAGGGCAGATGCATACTTCACAGTCTAAAGGGAGGAAAACCTTTCCTTTATAACTATGACTATTATTTGAGATAAGGTCTCCTGTAATCCAGGCTAGTCTCAAGGGTAAGGAAAACTTGGAACTCCTGGTCCTCCTGCCTTTACTCCCCCACCCCCACCCAAGTGCTGGGATTACAGGCACACACCACCATGCCTCACAGAGAAGTCACTTCTGGAAGGGGATTAATCGTAGAATGCAGCAACATTCCGCATAAGCCACATCTGTGTCCTGGCTTAGGCTCTGGCAGGGACTGGCTGCCTCAGCATCACTGCAGGCATTCCTGGACCTGCACACAGCCAGGGCTCCTGACGGCCTGTCACATCTGATCAGCACCACTGTGACCTTAGGAACACAAACAAGCTGTCACCTGGGTGTACTGCCAGCATCTGGGAACACATGTGGCGAGCCATGAAGTCCGCTCCCGAATCACGCTGTCAAGACTCTCAAATGTGACTTTGTTCCTTTGGTTTGTTGTTCTTTGGGGGTTGTTTTGTTTTGTTGTGTAACTCTAGGCCTCCTATCTCTACACAAGTATTCTACATTTCACTACACCCCCCTAGCCAAGACTTACAATTTTGACTACCAAAAAGTTAAAATAATAATGATCATTTAAAATTCTGATATATTTTCAGATTTCTCCTTGGTTTGGGCGAGGGGGTGTTCTGGGTGTGGAACCCAGTGCCTGGTGCACTCTGGCAAGTACTTTACCACGATGAACCATACCCCAGGTTGATCCTGATACCCTCACTCATTCTGTGGCACTTAGCTCCAGCTTTACATTGGTAGTCTGACTTACATACTCATTTGCTGACTTATCCAGCCAAAATGTGTAATATCTCTATTATCAATTATCATCCTTTAAGACACTCATGTTCTGGGCTAGAGAGAAGGCTCAGTAGTTGAAAGCATTGGCTGTCCTTGCAGAAGACCTAGGTCATGTTTGCAGCACCTATATGGAGGCTTACATCCATCATAATCCCAGTCCCAGGGGCTCTGGCCTCTTCTGGGCTCCGCAGGCACCAGACACATACATGATGCATACACTAACACACAGGCCCAGCACTCACATAAAATACCAGTTTGTAAAATATTGTTCAAAGATAGTCATTTTCATAGGCACAAAAAAAAGACAAAATTTAAAACAAGAAACACAAAAGCACTGGGCAGTGGTGGCACACGCCTTTAATCCCAGCACTTGGGAGACAGAGGAGGCAGATCTCTGTGAGTTTGAGGCCAGCCTGATCTACAAATCAAGTTCCAAGAAAGCCAGGGCTACACAGAGAAACCCTGTCTTGAAAAAAAAATAAAAAATAAAAAATAAAAAAAAAGGAAATACAAAAGAAAAATTAAAAAAAAAACAGAAAAAAGGAGAGAAAGAAAAAGAAGAGAAAAATAAAAACGGGAAGCTATGATTCTTGAAACAAACCCAGAAACCTGATATAATCTGCTTCTAGAAAGTTCCAAGCCCAAGAACACTGGCTTTCCACCCACATCTGACTAAGATCTATGAATCGGGGGCGGAGTCTCTACCACCACTCTCCGAAACCCTCCAAACTACAGCCTCTCAGCCCTCCTCAAAACCCTTCCAGACTGCAGCCTCTCAGCCCTCCTCATCTCTCCTTAAGGAGGACAGGGGCCAAAGGATCTGTGTGATGGGATGAGAAGAGAATGTCAAATGTCACAGGGCACCTGCATGGGAACACAGAGCCCTAGGCAGGAGACAGTGACTCAGCCTGGCCAGGTGAGTCATTTGTGGACACAATGCCTAACAGCAAAGCCCTCTCCACCATCTCATCCCTCAGCACCAGAGCCAACCACCTCTGGGAAGCCAAGCTGGAGCAGGTCTGTGTGTGTGGAGGAGGTGAGGGTGGCATAGATTCTCTCAGCGTCTGTTCCTGAGCTGGTGACATCAATGTCATTTGCTAAGCTCCAGCTGCGGCTCATGCAAAAGGAAAAGCTCCTTGGGCTGAGATCTCAGTTTTGAGTAATGCAAAGATGTAGCCTGGCAGGTTAGAGAAAGACCCTTCTAGCTGACTGACACTTTCCCCCTCGCCTTTCCAGGGAAGGATGAGGACCTCCACCTTCTCCCCAGCCCTTCCCTAGAAACGCTGCCTTTTCCAGCTGTTTTTTGCACTGGCTAATTAGAGAGAGACCAAAGGCTCAAAGGTAACAAGGGTAGAGGCATATGAAAATTTTCAGTAAGAAGTACCCAGACCTCTGTCCTGGGTCAGTGTCCTGCAACAGGTGCTTCTCACCTAGAGAGTACAGACAGGCATCCATAGCAGTCAGCCCTGTTGTCTGGTGAACCAGTCTCACAAGACTTTCATGTACTTGGCCCAAGAACTGTGCAGAATTCAAAAGCTCGCTCATACTAGGCATGGAAGGGTTATTTCTAGGCTGGTGATGTGTGATGTGCATGTGAGGTCCCGAGTTCAAACCCCAGCACTGCAAGGCAAAGAAGAGAATGAATTCCTAGGTCTTTGGTCTCATTATCTGTAGGAATAAATTTTAACCGGGTGTCTAAAAAGAAAAAGTCCCCAGAGTCTTAATTAAAAACTGTCTTAAGAAATCAGCAGACAGCCAGGCACAGTGGTACATGCATTTGATCCCAGAGTTCCAGGAGGCAGAGTTCTAGGCCAGTCTGGTCTACATACAGGACAGCCAGAGCTACGCAGAGAAACCCTGTCTTAAAGAGACAGGGGAGGGGGTGAGGAGGAGAAGGAAGAGGAGGAAGAAGAGGAGTAAGAGGAGATTGGTAGACATGTCTAGCAAGGGGAGGCTGTACTTCAGACTACACAGCATCTTAACCAGAGAGGTTCACCTGGTGTCCCCTGCATTTAATTTGGATAGTGTCACAAGTAACTATTCTAGGGGCCTGAGAGATGGCTCTGAAGTTAAGAGCACTCATTAGGACATCATGTGCCAGAGGACATAAGCTTGGTTTCCAGCACCCACATCAAGGGGATCACAATCACCTGATCTCCTGTTCCGGGGATGTAGAGATTTAGTCCTGATGGCTGGGAAAATGGTCTGCAAGTCGTTTAAGTAGAGGCAAGAAGGAAAGGTGAAAGGTTCCCTCAGACCCCCAAGCTCCAGCTCCCAGCTTACCTTGGTACAAGGTGGTTAAACTTGTAAGAACTGAAGACCTCCTGGATCTTCTCTTCCACTTTGGCCTGATACGACAGCAGGACATGGAAGAGAGAAAACATAAAGATGAGATGCTATTGACTTTTTCATCCTACAGCCACAAATGTCTAACGCCGAAGTATTTCAGCGCAGTTCTGTGCTGCACAGAGATTCAGAGGCTCTATACAACAGCTTAATGACAATCAAGACATAGTCACTGGGGAGGTAGTTTAGGGGCAGGGACCCCCAAACCAACAATTGCAGGAATGTCATTGGTTTTCTAGTTAGGAATGCCAGAAGGGGAAGGGGGTGGGGGCTCTGGTTTCTAACCCCCTAAATGAGCAGCTCACCTGAAGGCTTAACTTAGGGTTTCTATTGCTGTGATGAAATACCATGACCAAAGCAACTTGGGTTTATTTCACCTACAACTCTCAAGTCACAAGTCCAATTACTGAGGGAAGTCAGGGCAGAAATTCTCAACAGGAACATAGAGGCAGGAACTGAAGCAGAGATCATGGAGGAATACTGCTTACTGGCTTGCTCCCCATGGCTTACTCAACCTGTATTACACAATTCAGAACCACATGCTCAGGAATGGCACCATGCCCACTCCCATCCTGCCTCAAAGTGGGATGGCTGGGCCAGACTACACCAATCATTAATGAAGGAAGTCTCAGCCTTAGGACTGAAGAGGCAGTAGTAGTCTCTGAGTTTGAGGCCAATCTGGGCTACAGAGCGAGTTCTAGGAGACCCAGGGGTACATAAAGAAACCCTGTCTTGAAAAGTAGAGGGGGGTTGGGGGGAAGAATGACCTACAGACCTGCCACTGGCAGCCTGAATGGAGGTACTCTCTCAGTTGGGGTTCCTCTTCCCAGCTAATTCTACCTTATATCAAGTTGACAACCAACTAGCCAACACAGATAGAAATAAAACTCCGGTCCAGGCACTAATCCTTTCTGGTAAACATAACTGACTCTAGACTTTCTGTTGGAAATGAGATTTATTTTCTCCCCAGTTTCAGCCCATTCCTAAGTGATTTTTAGGTTGCCTCCTCAGAGACAGGGATGTCATATAGTCTTGATCAAGGCTCATGTCTTTAGAGGCCCCGGAAAGGACAGCTATTTCCTCCTGGACAAAAGAATAATATCTACCTCTGGCCTTAGGCTAAGTAAGACACAACATTCCAAACGACCCAACGTGTAAGAGTTAATCCAGGTAGACCTGTCAATACACCTGCTTGGTGGAGACCACCCCTCAATCAGGCTGGTTCACCTTCAGCTGTGCTAAAAATAGGGGAGGAATAGTTATCCCTTTAAGAATAATTTAAGGATTCCCGTCCCAAAATTCCCACTCTCCATATAGTTTCTTATGAAACTATGCCATGGGTTCTGCTTAGTCTTCTGTTTTTCCAAATTATTCCAAAAAGCACTTCTTTTTGTTAGCTTTTTCTTTCTTTTGGATACTTACCAAAACCTGGACATGCTCACCTAGACAGTTTGGGCCTTCATACTCTTCTGCTGAAGCCCCCTGCCTTCTAACTCAAAAAAGCATCTCTCTCTCTCTCTGTCTCTGTCTCTGTCTCTGTCTCTCTCTGTCTCTCTCTCCCTCCCTCCCTCCCT